GAAAAGTGGGCTAGCATTCAGATGAGATTAATCATTGCTCCTCTCTGACAATTAAGGAATTCTAATTGTTTTATTTGACCTTTTAACATCTTATAATCTTTGTTAGAGGATCAAAACTATCAGACTTGCTGCCTCCTTGGAAGAGATAAAAACTCCTCTAATTGCACAAGGATAGGCAAGGACAAATGATATACTTTTGGGAAATGGTACCACGTTCATTTGTGGAGTTTAAAGATAATAAACAGATGTCCTGGAAGTATCCCAGGGACTACCAGTATGAGAGATGACAACTTTTCTTTCAATGATAACTTTAAACTAACTCAGAGGGAAAGCTAAATTCCTAAGCTCAACTTAGAAAGGAAACTTAAGCAGATACAGAATCAATTGCAATGTGAAATCAATACAATATAGAATCATTTATAAAGTTGAATTAAGTTGAATTTCCCAATTCCCCTCTTTGATTCTTGGGAGGTCATGCTTCCCATGAATCATTCAGCATGATTAAGTTACAAATAGAAATATAGTAAAAATCATGTATGTCACTCCATAATGTTTAGTAAAGCAGTCACTATAGAAACAAAAATGGGGTAGGCTAGAATCTTTGTTGAAGTGACATTATTCCTAGCTGATTTCTAGCTGATAATGCAGTAAGCCTAATATATGGGAATAGAAGCTAAAGAAATTTCATCTCAAATATTCTACCTAATTGGGACTAATTTGAGAGGGGATGGTCCCAAAACCTTCAGGTTTGATCTTATAACAATTTACCCTTTGGTCTTTGAGACCACCTATGACCAACGCATTGACAAGCTCTGTCAGCATCAGTCTCCTTACAGGTATAGCAGTGTATGAGAATAGAATGAAAGGGGAGGGTGAACATTCAGACTCTTTCTTAGTAACCCGTTCCAAATATCAGCACATCATACTTAAGGCTCAGATGTCTCATGCAGTCCTGATTTCTGAAACATCTCTTCTTGGGCATTCTGAAATGGGCCTGTTCTTAGATTACCTCTGAAAGACAGAGCTTCTCCCAGAAGATCTGCTTCTCTGGTTCAGCTTACTTAAAGCAATTCTTAGATGTTTCTTTTAAAATCTGCTAGTAACCACATTCAATACAATTTAGTACAGCCTCTTAAATTTTACTTTTCCAATAGCTAGTTCATGTGGTGAAAACCAGCTCAAATTTTATGGTTCTAATTCTATTAACAACAGAGCTATAAGATCAAAATGTGAATCCATAGTTCATTTAAAACTTCAGAGAATTTAAGTTTTTACATACTCCTTGTTATTTCTATCTTTATCTAAACCCTGTACCTTATATAGATACTGCCAAAAACAAACTGAAGGAAGAATCTTATAAAGAATCTTTGAGAATCTGACTTGTAAAATGACCACTTCTGGTGCATTAAATCTTTAGATTTAATATTTATCAAAGTAGACATATTGGTTGCTTATTGTCCTTCATTCTTTTTTTTTTGCCAGGCAATGGGGTTAAGTGACTTGCCCAGGGTCACACAGCTAGTAAGTGTCCAGTATCTGAGGCCAGATTTGAACTCAGGTCCTCCTGACTTCAAGGCTGGAGCTCTATCCACTGCGCCACTTAGCTGCCCCATATTGTCCTTCATTCTTGAAGAGGACCAAAAAGTTATGTTAAAGTCCAGTAGTGTTTCCAACTGTGGCTGATCAGACCAATATGAGCTCAGAATGTTCTACCACAGGTCCAGCACAAACAGTCCATGTGAATAGTCGGAGTGGATTCTCTAAACGTGCGTATCTTGCATTTCTTTTGAGCTACTTCAATTCTGCTTTGTTCACAGAGCACAGCACCCTCTTTGATGAGGGCATGCCAGTGCCAGTGTCTCCCATGTCTCACAATCATTTCCAAAGTTCTTCAGAGAGACCTTGAGAATATCCTTATATCACTTCTATTAACCACCATGTTAGTGCTTGCCTTGTGTGAGTTCTCCATAAAATAGTCTTTTAGGCAAGTGTATGTTTGGCATTCAAACAACGTGATCAGCCCATCAGAATTGCATTCTCTGCAGTAGAGTTTGAATGCTTGGCAATTTAGTTTGAGAAAGAAGTCTGGTACCTTATCCTGCCAGATTATGTTCAGAATCTTCCTAAGATAATTCAAATGGAAGCTACTGATTTTCTTGGCATGGAATTGGTATACTGTCCAGGTTTCACAGGCATACAACAATGAGGTCAACACAATGCCTCTGTGTATCTTCAGTTTGGTAGACATTCTAATACCTCTTCTCTCCCACACTTTCCTTTGGAGTCTCCCAAACACTGAGCTAGCTCTGGCAATGTGTGCTTCAACCTCATTAGCAATGTGTACATCCCTGGAAAATTTACTGCCAGGGTAAGCAAACTTATTGACAGTGTCCAAAACTTCTCCATTTTATGGTTCCATGTATAGCTGGTATGGTGTTTTCTTGGTGTTAATTGTTTGGCTGAAATTAGCAGAAGCAGCAGAAAATTGATCCATACGTTGTTGTATTTCAGCTTCAGAGGCTTCATTGATTGCACAATCATCTGTGAACAAAAAATCATGCACCAACTCTCCCTCTAATTTATTCTAAGCCTTTTCAGGTAGCTGACCTTGATGTCCCCTGTTTATCCTCATTGAAGGTGTCTGACAACATTGCTGAAAACATTATTCTAAAAAGCATGAGAGCAAGTATACAGCCTTGTTTTACTCCACTGGTGACTAGGAAAGTGTGAGAGCATCATTCGTTATCCAGAACCCAGGTAAGCATCCTGTCATGAAATTGACATATAATACTGATAAACTTCTTCAGGCAACCAAATTTTGACACAAATTCTCATGACTGACAGTATCAAAGGTCTTACTTAGTCAGATCAAGAAACATTGTGTATAGACCTCTGTTATGCTCCTAGCATTTCTCCTGGAGTTTTCAGGCAACAAACATACTAACTGTTCCTCGGCCCTTTCTGAAACCAGTCAAAGCAGACGTGTAAGCTAAAGTTAAATTGCTTTTCTAGATTGGCATCAGCTCCATTATCATTTAAATTTTTGAAACTGGTGTTAATTTATTTCATTCTTCATTTTGGATTTAAGCCTCATAAAGGGAAAAACTTGGGTTATATTATTTTTAACTGTCCTGTGATGCAAATTAGCGAATTATGTTGATACATTTAAGAAATTCAAATAATGACTGAAAAATAAAAAAACTAAACATTTTAGAATACCCCAGACCTCTGAAAACCTTTTGAATTAAGCATTTAAAAAAGCCCTCCAAATCCCCCCAAAACCCAAAAAACCCCAAATGCCTGGTTTGTGTAGGGGGTGAACAATATAATTTATGTAAGTGGATGTGTATATAGATATACATATATATATGCATATATATATACATTTAGAATAGAACTTATTAGAACATGATCAAAGTCTGTATGTCACATTGGAATAATTTACATTTGATATATATAATTGTCTAATCTTTTTACTTCTCAAAATTTTCCACTCTGACTAACCAGTTAATTCCTCCCTTAGGAGAATGATATACTTTAGAAATCTAATCCTAAACATGACTACATAGCTCTTTGTAAGTAAATGATGCTTATTTAGTTTCAATTGTAACAGACAACAAAACACTTTGGAAGGGATTATAAATATACTAAGTCCTTAACCTCACGTTATATACAGAAAGTATTGTATATCCCAAACAGTTTAAATGTAGATTGCTTGCACTTCAGGATATGCTGTACGCACATTAATTCCTAATTAAATAGCAAATCTAAGTAAAATTGGATTTCCCTTTGAAGTAACACAAGATAGTCCATAAGTTACTTTCCTCTTAAATAAATGATTGCATGACATTCTTTTCCTTATAACAAACAGATGTTTATGATTTTAACCGTACTAATTAATATATTTGTACTTAATCTTTGTCTAATTATTCCTACATTATTCTGAGATATTTCAAGGTCATTTTTGTTGTTGTTGTTTTTCCTTCATCCTCAAAGAGGACCATGACATCAGGAAGTGATGCCATGACTTGCAAGTGAATTGAATTTAAGTGAGGGAGGGCTGTGCAAAGTCACCAGCCTCCTTTCTTCTCTGAAGCCATCTGGGTCCAGTGGCAAGATATGGATCAGGATGACCTTATCTTATATGTGAATGTATAACTATTAATAGGTAGATGACAAGCACAAGAACTCATTCTTCTTTTTCCTTCTTTTCCTCTCCTCTTCTTTTTCTCCTCCTCCTTCCCCCTCCTCCTCCTTTTCCTCCTTCTCCTTCTCCTCATTCTCCCCCAGTTTAAGCTTATCCTGATGTCAAAATCAATCATTAGAAATTAAGAAAATAATAACTCCCAGGAATATTCTAGCCAAATTCCAGAGCTACCAGGTCAAGGAAAAAATATTGCAAAAAAAAAAAAAAACCAAACCAAACCAAACCAAACAAAACAACAACAACAATAAAAACCAATTCTAATACCATGGAGCCATACTCAAGATTTAGTGACTTCCGTGTAAAAGGAGCAGAAGGCTTGGAATATGATATACTGGAAAGATTAGAGCCAAGAGTAATACCCAGCAAAACTGAGTGTAATCCTTCAGGGGGAAAAGGATGTTTAATGAAATAGAAGACTTTTAAGCCTTCATGATAAGAGAAAAAACCACAGTGAATAGAAAATTTGACATTCAAACAGCACTCCAGAGAAGCACAGAAAGGTAAACATGAAAGAGTAATTATAAGGGATTCAATAGAGTTAAACTGTTTGTATTCTTATTGGGTAAGATGATACATGAAACTTCTAAGAACTTTATTATTATTAGAGTTTATATAGACAGGCCATGAGTGTGAGTTGATTATGTTGGTATTATAGCCAAAAAGAAAAAAAAACAGAGGTAAAAAGGGACACACTGGGAGAAGGGGAAAAGAGGAGGTGTAATGGGGAAGAATTTCTCACATAAAAGCAGCATTCAAGGAAGAGCTTTTACAATGGAGGGGAAGTCCATTGAATGTGCTTCAGCAGCACATATACTAAAATTGGAACAGTACAGAGAAAATTAGCATGGCCCCTGCACAAGCATGACATGCAAATTCATGAGGTGTTCCATATTTTAAAAAATGGAGGGGAAAATAGGGGTGTGTTTAGCAGGTCATGCTTGAACCTCACTCTCATCAGAATTTGTTCAAAGAGGGAATACACACATATACATACATACATACATACACATATATATGCATGTACACACATATATGTATACACACATACACATTCAGTTAGGTATAGAAATGTAACTTACACAAAATGGAAATTGGAGGGAAAAGGGATAAGGCAAAGAAGAAGATGATTAAAGGAAGAATGGATTAAGGGAGGCAGTGGTTGGAAGCAAAATAGAATTTTGAAGAGGGACAGGATAAAAAGAGAGAGGAAGAAACAGAAGAAAATGAGCTGGAACTAAATACACACTTAGTAATTATAAGTGTGAATGTGAATGGGATGAACTCACCCATGAAACAGAAGTAGATGGCAAAGTGAATTAGAAACCATAATCCAACAATATGCTGTTTATAAGGGATACACTTGAAACAGAAACACACAGAGTTAAAGAAATAAAGGTCTGGAGTAGAATCTAATATGCTTTAACTTAAGTAAAAAAAAAAATGCAGGGATAGCAATTATGATCTCAGACAAAGTAAAAGCCAAAATAGACCTAATTAAAAGAGATAATCAGGGAAATTACATTATGCTAAAGGATACCATAGACAATGAAGTAATATTAAAATAATTTGCAGGAAGTTTCTCTGATAAAGGCCTTATTTCTCAAAAAGTTCTATAACTGAGTTAAATTAATTAAAGCCATTCCTCAACTGATAAATGGTCAAAGGATAGAAACAGAATTTTTAGAAGAAGAAATCAAAGCTACAGTCACATAAAAAATTCTCTAAATCACTATTGAATATAGAAAGTCAAATTAAAACAGCTCTGAGGTAGAAATGACAAATGCTGGAGGGGATGAGGTAAAAAAAAAATAGGTGATGAACTGCTGGTGGAATATTGAACTGATCCAACCATTCTGGAGAAAAATTTGGAACTATACCCAAAGGGTCTAGTGTATACTGTATAAATTGTGTGTACTCTTTGACCCAACAATATCACTACTAGGTCTGTATCTCAAAGAGATCAAAGAAAAAGGAAAATATGTACTAAAATATTTATAGCAGCTCTTTTGTGGTGACAAAGAATTGAAAATTGAGGGGATGTCCATCAATTGGGAATGGCTGAACAAGTATGACTGTGATGGAGTACTATTGTTCCATGGGAAATTACAAGTGGGGGGGGTGGTTTAAAAAAACAAAAACCTGGCAAGACTTATATGAACTGATGCAAAGTGAAATGAGAAGAATACAGAGATCATTGTACCTAGTAACACCAAGCTGTAATAATGATCAACTGTGAAAGACTTGGCTACTCTGATCAATGCAATGATCTAAGACAATTGCAAAGGACTCATTGTAAAATTGTAAAAATTCTATCCATCTCCAGAGAGAGAACTGATGAACTCTGGGTGCACATTGAAGTATAATTCTCTCATTTTCTTCATTTTTCTTGCTTTAAAAATATGTTTTGCATAATTTCACACGTATAATTGTAATCACAGTGTTTGCCTTCTTAGTGGGTAGGAGAGGGCATGGGAGGGAGGCAGAAAATTGGAATTCAAAATTTAAAAAGAAAAAAATGTTAAAAATAAATAAAAAATCAATTTAAAAAAGATATATAGAAAATTGACCTCTGATGACTTTGAAATTGTGTTGCTTCCAAGCATAGATACTCTCTGTATGTATGTAGTCTGAACCAACTGTACAGAAGTTTCTGACTTCGCGTTCTTGAGTCTTCTTTCCACTTCTTCACATAAAGAAAGTATCAAGCACTGAGGTGTGAGATTATGAATGTGCTGGTTCTACTATAATTAAAGATAAAAAGAGTTTGCTATAGAAGCACTAGTAGATCTCTTCCATTTCACATGTCTTTGCTGTCCTTGTTCCATCTGTAATAATAACAACAATATAATTCTATATTATCTTGTATCTTAGTGGTATTAAGTGACTTGCTCACCTTCATACAGCTAGTAAGTAGTAGATCTGGAATTTGAACCCTGGCCTTTTCATGCTAAATCCAGGATTTTTCCCTCTATACCCCATTATCTCCAGAACTATTCTTGGCATAATCTGACTTAATTTGATCTCTCTCCAAGCTTTCTTCAAGCTTGTTTCACTGCCCTTTATTGTTCTATGACATGATTTTGCTCCTCATCTTCATCTCTGCAATAAATGAGCTCAAATTACATCTTTGGTCTCTTTCATTTCTTAATCTCAAGTCGTATTTTCCAACATATTTTTTAGCTATTCTCTTCTGTTCTCACCTTCGTAGTCAAGTCATCCAGTGCTGGATTCACTTGATTTAAAGGTTACCAATATGGGAATCATTTGAGACAAATGAAAAGTCCATGAGACAGAGTTTCTGGGTAATTAATTAATTTATTAATTAGGCTGATAGTCAATAAATTGATGGTCAGTGGTTTCTCTCAGTAACCAAAGACAAAACGACTGAATGCTTAAATAACTTTAGAGAAGAAAGTACTCTTGGCAGGTGAAAATCAACCCTGATTGGTAAATAATTAATGAGGTGGTAGACATTTTAATGAGGAGGTAGGCTAGAAGTCTTCAGCTCCTCCTGCTGAGAACATGACTTGATTATGTTATTCAGTTTCCTTCAGCAGTCTGGACAAAGGAATCTATCACTACCCAGACCACTCTAGTTGGTTTTCTCCTTCATAAACTGAGCTACCCTAGATCACAATGGGGTGGGGGTGGGGCTGCAAGGGTATAGATTTATTTCCTAAGGGCAAGAATTCACCTAGATTAGATTCTGTTTGTAAGGTCTTTAGTAGGGTGAGGTCTTGCCCACAATCTTTTTTTTTTTTTTTTTTTTTTTTTTGTGAGGCAATTGGGGTTAAGTGACTTGCCCAGAGTCACACAGCTAGTAAGTGTTATGAGGCTGAATTTGAACTCAGGTCCTCCTGACTCCAAGGCCAGAACTCTATATACTGCGCCACCTAGCTGCCCCTTCTTGCCCACAATCACAGAGCATGGATCAGGATTTAGGCAATCTCATCTATTGGCAACGTTCTTCAGAAAATAACTGACAGATCTACAGGGACTGGTCCCTGAATGAGAAAACAGAAAGGGAAAACCTCGATCCTAATTTAATAATTGGTTATTAATATAATAGAAAAATAATCACTTCTCTCATATTTCACAATCAGCCATCTATCTGTGTGCATTCAGATTACCAAATGTTTAGAGCAAGGATCATGTAACACAACCCTCTTAAAAACCTATTTACTTTGAACTAGTCCTAATTAGAGGCAATGTCTTCATTTTTATTCTTTTTTCATTTTTTCAGAGTCTGTAGCTTGTTTAAGCAGTCCAGGTAATTGCTTGATTTTACATTCATACTGATCTTTAAAGTGACCAAAGGCTTATAGATTTTTCAGAAGCCTAATGTTCCTTTTCTATCTTTGTGGGATCTTTATCCATATAATACTCACTAACCTTGGCTATTCTCCAAATATAAAAGCCTTGGGCCGATTATTTCATAATATCTCTGTGCCTTAATATATGGTTGATTTTTACAAAAGTTCCATGTGTTTTTTTCTGAAATCATCAATTTCTTAATTTCTTATGATATAATAATTTTATATTATCTTTATATACACAATTTATTTAGTCATTCCTCAATAGATGACCACAGTTTCTAGTTTTTGGCTACTAAGAAAAGAGCCTTGATCTTCTGATTTGTTTATGATGTCATCTTTCATGTCTAAATCATGTTTCCATTTAGAGTTAATGGTGTAAAATATCGGTAGTTTATAAGCAATTTTGGCCAAAATACTTTCTAGTTTACCCAGAACTTTTTCTTAAATAGTGAATCCAACCCACATCTCCAACTGCCTATTAGACATTTTAATCTCAACATGTCCAAAACTGAACTCATTATCTTTCTTCCCTAAACCCCCTACTCTTCATTATTTTCTTATTACTGCTAAGGGCACCACCATATTCCTAGTCAGTTAGGTTCATAACTTGGATGTCATGCTTGATTCCTTATTTTCTTTTACCACTCTACCACATATTCCATCTATTGCCAAATCCTGTCATTTCAGCTTTTGTAACATCACTATACCCCTTTCTCATGACACTGCTACCACTCTAATACAGGCCCTCATCACTTTGTATCTGTAGCCTTTTTGTTGGTCTCTTTGCCTCAAGTCTCTTCCTATTTCAGTTCTTCCTTCATTCAGCTATCAAATTAATCTCTCTAAATAACTACTTAAATCTGACCATATCACTGCCAGCCCCCATTCCACAAACTCGAGTGGCCCCCTCCAGGATCAGATATTAACATCATCTATTTGACTATTAATCCATAAGCTGACCTCCTCCTCCTGTTCCAGTCTTCTTAAACTTTATTCATGCTCTCTTTCTCTGTGATCCAGTGACATTAGCCTCCTTGAAGTTCCTCAGATATGACCTTTGATATCCTAACTCTGAGCATATTCACTGGTCATATATTCACATATTCATCCCATATACCTGAAATTTTCTCTTCTCGTCTCTATCTTCTGACCTCTATGGCTTCCTTTAAGTTCCTAGCTAAAATTCTACCTTTTACAATTAACCATTTCTGATGCCTAATGCTAGCACTTTCCATCAATTGATTATCTCCAATTTATCATATTTATATTGCATATATACATACATATGTATGTGTGTGTCTTGTTTGTACATATTTATTTGTGTGTTACTACAAGGAAAGCTTTACTGTATTGTTTGAACTTCACCCCACACTGTGAAACATTACACTTGTCTAGACCATACTTGTTTAATGCTTAACCCAGAATGTGTATAACATTCTGATTCCAGAGACCTTTCATTCAGCATGCCTTGCTTCTGCATAGAGAATGCTGCAAGGAATGCAAGGAATTTCCTCCTGTTATATGTCTCAAATAACCTATGGGCCTTATTTAGAAACTTCCTGCATGCTGGCCAAATAGCT